TTTTTTTTTTTTTTTTTTTTTACTGGGAAGTCACTTGCACCAGGCTAAATCCATTACAATGCATGTCATTTTCTCAGCAAGGGAAACATCATCCCTCTTCTTTATATAGATATGGAACCAAAGCCAGGATATGAAATTAACTTAAACCAAGTTACAAGCCTATGGTGTGGAAAATTGAGTTTGGATGTTAGCCCATGCCAATCATCTTTCCTCTGGAGGACAGCCATGCTAGGTGTGTTACATGTTTTAGCATTCTCCCTGAAGACTTTTTTGGCTTGGATTATTTAGCACATCCAAGCCTTAAAAACTTAAGAACAAAATATGTACCACTGCTAGTTGTCCTGGCACATATCCCTGCATGCACACTCTGGTGTATAGCACATTGCCTGAAGTGGTGTAGGGGAAACTGGGGCCAGCACCCAGGCTGGACCCAGCAGCCTTACTGGGGTCCTCCTGTGGCAGTGATCCAGACACACGGAGCTCAGCTGGCAGCTGAAGTGGGCTTTGGTCAGCCAGTCTCTGGTTTTGGGCAGCACATGATGTAGCCATATGCACTGTGCCCCTACGGTTTTTTTTTTGGTGTAGTTTTTGTTGACACTGGGATCTCCTGGTGTCAAAAACCCACTGCACTGCAAGCTAACTGAACAGCGTGTGTGTGTGGTATGTGCAATCTGAGGTGCCACAAGCTGTACTTGCATGCACACTGATATAGTCCAGCAGGGCAAAGAGCCCAGCCTGCTTCTCACCCTGGGGACCCCTGCAGCAAAACTGGGGCACTAACAACTGAAGCAGCCTTGCAGGCAGAAACTCTGCTAACCATGGTGCAAACCAGGCATAGGCAGCTTCAGTGACACTGTGGTGGCAGCAGAGCCTCTGACTACAGCCAAAGCTGCTGCAGCAGGGTCTCTCACAACAGCAGCCCGTGTCCTGGTGAGGACCAGGGTGCAGGCAGCTCCAGCAGCATTATAGGCAGAAGTTCTGTTACTACAACCACAGCCCACTGAGCTGGGGATTTTCCATCTCTAGCCACCGTAAAGGGGATTCTGCCTACACGCTGCTCTCCTCACTCTGCCAGCTATGATTCTAATGGAGATTGAGGAAGCCATGTCTTACCGCGTCAGGTGTAACATTGTTCTTTATGTACTGGGAGAACTGTTTTTTATAAGCATCTTCATCTTCCTCCATCAGGTAGCGCATGTAATCTGCAACATTTTGGCCCATGATGTGCTTACGATGAACCTCTGCGTTGAATTCTTTGCTTTCCGAGTCATAGCCAGGGAAACGCTTGGTACTAGCAAACAGCAGTTAAGGGGAGTAGTTACAACAAGACACCTTGTCAGGGATGGTTTAAGAAATTCTTTTAAAATCCAGAAATTTTGTTGTACATGCTTTGGAAATAGGTAAGAGGATAGATGCAACATAACCGCCCCCCCCTTCCAAACAGCTAGAAGATAAAGAATTTCAACTAATAAGTTGAAAAGCTAAGGAAATTTTATCTTCAGCTGCCATCAGTCCCGTCTTGAAACAATGACATACATCATACACAAACTGAGGACCAACTACAGCATGCTCAGTTGCTGGGGTATCATCATATAGCAGCCAGATTCAAGAATGAAGAGAATCTCGACAGCCCAATGAAGCAGTAACATTAAATCCCTTTCTGTTATCTCAGCTATTCTTTTGAAAGTTTTATAGTCAGTAGCAACTAACTAATACCAAAAATAGATCATGCCATCAACTTAAGCCCTAGTCTCTAAATGAAAATTATAACTAAGGCACAGGTTGCCAGGACTTTTGCACAGCAGTTTAAGGTACAAGCATAGCTGGATTACTCAGACACAATCTGAAGTTTTCACTAACAGTTCCATAACGTTCAGAAACACCCACTGGCTTTCCCATACTCATTTTCATAGTTTCATAGATTTAGGGTTGGAAGGGACCTAGTAGATCTTCTAGCCTGACCCCCCGCCAGGGCGGGAGAACAACAAAACCCCAAAACAAAAACGGGACTCAAATGAGTCCAGCCAGGTAGGCATCCAGCCTCTTCTTAAAGACCCCCAGGGTAGGGGCCAGCACCACTTCCCTTGGAAGTTGGTTCCAGCTCCTAGCTGCCCTAACTGTGAAGTAGTTCTTGCGGATGTCCAATCTATACCTCCTCTCCATCAACTTGTGCCCATTGCTCCTTGTTATGCCAGCGGGCGCTAGGGGAAACAGCGTCTCCCCCAAACCCTTCTGGTCCCCCCTAGTGAGTTTATAGACGGTCACCAGGTCCCCCCTCAGCCTTCTCTTGTGGAGGCTGAATAGGTTCAGGTCCCGCAGTCTCTCACTGTAGGGTCTGCCCTGTTGTCCCCGGATCATGCGGGTGGCCCTCCTCTGGACCCTCTCCATGTTGTCCACATCCCTCTTGAAATGGGGCGCACAGAACTGGACACAATACTCCAGCTGTGGCCTGACCAGCGTCGCGTAGAGGGGGAGGATCACCTCCTTGGCTCTACTCGAGATGCACCTGTGGATGCATGACAAGGTCCGGTTAGCCCTGCCAACCATGACCTCGCATTGTCGGCCCATGTTCATCTTGGAGTCAATAATGACTCCAAGATCTCTTTCTGCCTCCGTGCTCTCGAGTAGGGAGTTCCCCATTGTGTAAGTGTGCTGCTGGTTCCTACTGCCCAAGTGCAGCACCCTGCACTTGTCCGTATTAAAACGCATCCTGTTCCTGTTAGCCCACCCCTGTAACCTATCCAGATCCCTCTGCAATCTCTCACTCCCTGCTAGCGTGCTCACCTCCCCCCAAATTTTGGTGTCATCAGCGAATTTAAACAGGTTACTTTCCACCCCATCATCCAGATCGCTGATGAAGAAATTGAACAGCACAGGCCCCAGGACCGAGCCCTGGGGGACTCCGCTACCCACCTCCCCCCAGGTCGAGTATGACCCATCCACCACCACCCTCTGAGTGCGACCCTTCAGCCAATCTGCAATCCATCTGACTGTGTAGGCATCTATGCCACAGTCGCCTAGTTTTTTAACTAGGATGGGGTGAGAGACACCTGACGCGGTAGGATTGACTGCTCTGGTTTTATATTTCTTAGAATATAAAACCAGACCAGTCAAAGAAATATTTATCTACATGTAACATCAAAGCAGTATCAATATTAAAAAGTGCTTTGCCTATTTAAATGCATTTATTTAGCCATAGCATATCTATGATACTCAGTATCTGTAGTACTGTGTTCAGTTTTGGGCCATGCAGAACAAAAAGGATGTGGACAAATCAGAGTCCAGTGGTGGTCAACAAAAATGGTGAGGGGACTGGGGGACAGACTTATGAGAAAAGACTGGAGGAACCAGGCTTATTTAGTCTAGAGAGAAGGAAACTTAATAGCAGCCTTCAACTACCTGAAGGGGGTGTGGGGGGTTCAAAAAAAGGATAGAGCTAGGTTATTCTCAGTGGTGGCAGATGACAGAACAAGAAACAATGGTCTCAAGTTGCAGCAAGGAAAGTTTAGGTTAGATATTAGGAAGAATTTTCTCACTAGGAGGGTAGTAAAACACTGGAACAGGTTACCCAGAGAGGTGGTGGAAGCTCTGTCATTGGGGGTTTTCAAAACCCAGCTAGACAAAGCTCTGGCTGGATGATCTAGTTGGGGCTGGTCCTGCTTTGAGCAGAGTGGTGGACTAGATGACCTCCTGAGGTCCATTCCAACCTTAAGTTTCTACGATTCTCTCTCAAGTGACTAGTGATACTACTTTAAACTCCATAAAGTTTAAACCTTATTCTTCCCCCACCTCCTTCCACATCACAACTCCTTGGCTGCAATCAGAATGGCATCTCCAGAAAACCTAAAACAACTGAGATTAAAATCTAAATTGCCACAGTAACATTCATTCCACACCAATTTTAGCTAACCTCAGATGAAGGTAACAGTATATTAGGCTGCACATTAAGAAGTTAAGCTCCATTTTTCCACAGTTCTCTTTTATGATCAACTTCTTATCCAAGACACAATTACCTATGAGGAATGGATAGACCACCATCCACTGCACCCTTTAGAGCACCAAAGACTTTGTTTCCAGTGGTAGTTCTTGCAAGCCCTGCATCCAGGTAGCATGTAAAGGCACCAGGCTGTCCATCCACACTTTCCACATTGTATTCATCACCAGTCACTTCAATTTGGCCTTCATAAACCTTATCAAGGCCAAATTTATTCAGAAGCTGCAACAGAAAGGAGTACAGAATGTGTTCTGAATTATTCTCCATATTTATTTATTTTAAAAACAAGCACTGAATAGTTTAACAATGCAAAATAAAGTTACTATAGAAAGGCTGGCACTATGTTCTCTCTGTACAAAATCAGTGCACTTAAACTTAACCTACAGATATTTACTCTCACAGCAACTACTGAACAAATCAGTACAAACAACACTCCACATTTTGGAGTTATCTGCGTAAGTATGATTATGAATGTTAAACATTTCATAGGCTGAGTTAGAAACTAAATGCATTCTGCAGACACACTTCTAACTCTTAACTTGTATACTTCTATACATACTCTCTTGCTGTCATGCCATTTATGTCCCCTTAAAAAAAATAAATAAATAAATAAATAAAAATCAGGGTCTCAAAACTAGGTTGCTGGAATTGACCAAACAGGCATAACACCAACTATTTCAGGGGTCATTAAATCTAAAAGTTCAAGGTGTTAAGTCGATGCCAATACATGTTAATCAAGTCAAGAAATCTCTTAGAGAAGAACCAGTGATATGACATAGACATGGTATAAACATACCCTCCGTGCCAACAGCAAGCCTGTACAATAGGCTGCAGCATAATTGGTCAGGCCAACCTTCACACCATACTTTGGCAGCTCATGAGCATAAGCAGCACAGACAATCATGTCGCCTTCAATCCTGGCATATGCAATCTGACAATAAAACAAGCATTAGATTGCTCACATTGAAAGAAATGGTAATAAAAAGCTAAATGTATTGCTGTCATTTAATGCTTCCATTCTTATCATCTCATCCCCTCTATCATTCACGCTGCAAGTTGCATCCTTTCTGACCCCTGCATATGAAGCTCTTACTGAAGTTAGCGAGAGTCCTGCATGTGAAGGTCTTGAAAATTTTGGTTACACATTTAGATCTCATTTCTTTATAGCTTCCCCCTTTTAAGCACACATTTCATAGACCTCAAGTTATAAAGAGCAAGCAATTCAGTCCTTTTGGATCACATGAAAAAAAGCAGTGATCCTCAACCAGGTTGGCATGAGGCACTACTCAGTATGAGCACTGTTAGGTATGCAAACACATGGTTCACAAAACAAACGCAGAGATTTCAAACAGGAATCCATAGTCAAAAGCATTCTGACCTGTTGTGGTCTCTCCACATTCTTTGCAACAGAAGAGTTGCTCTATTTTACTGTAGTCAAAAAACTAAGTGGAAAACTAAGAACTCGGATGTTCCATGTTTTGTGTCAAAAGAGGTTGAGAACTACTGCGCTATAAGTTAAAGATTGGCTAAGTGTTTACTGGCTATTTAACCACTACTTCATATGGGGTGGCTCAAGAAATCACCACCAGAGAATTTATGTAGATCAAAAGTGAGAGGAAGAAGGATCTAAAATACAATGCACACTATTCTTTTCATGGTAGGTCAAACGTAATGTATTCCATAATTCCTAATTCTGTCACAATACTTTATTTCAGATTGCCTCAAAACTCGACTGACAAACAAAGCGTGTTCTAAAGCCAAAGTGAAGACCATCATAAATTGCAGAAGCCACTGAAGAGATGCTGACAGCTGCCAAGTCACTTCAATCCTAACTTCTTCCACCTGCCTTCAGTTATTGTTACAGAAGCAAATTACTATAGCTAATTTGCTTAGTTCACTTATGGAATTTCTGAACACAAGGAAGAAGGTGAAAAAGCACAGGCATAGAGTTATTATTAAGCATAGTTTGTGTTGTTTTTATACAGAAAAATAAACATCTTTTAAACAAGCATGAAGCTACAGGATAACTAACACACCTAACTAATGATTCTTTTATCAAGACAAATTTCAAGTGCCTAGTATTCTCAACTGCTTTTCTTCAAACTTAGATTACTTATAGTCTTCAGCGAGAACAGAAAAAAAAACAAACTTAACATTTCCTAGCACAACGTTTTCTGGCTGCACAGATTCAAAAAGCCAATTCAGGCAGAGTTCAAATTATTTTCCTTAATTTATAAAAACAACATTTTGGCCAAATCAAATATGAAGTTTAAGCCTGACAGTACCACAAAGAGTTAAGGACAGAATTTGAATGGAGATTTGCTGAGCTATCGTGGGCTGGGTCAGCACAGTTCCTACCCCCAGCAATAGCTTGCCAAAACTCCCTAAGTGGCTCTGGCCTAGAGCCTGGCCCTGACCTTGTCAGTACCTGGCAATCCTGGCCCAGCCCCAGGGTCTCTGTGGAGACTGGCCCCGGATCTGTACAGGCAGGGCATGCTCAGGACGGGTGGATAGGATGTGGCCAGGTGGGGAATGGCATCTGTGAGCATGATGGGCAGGTAAGGCCAAGATCACAAGGTGATGACAGCATAAAGCCAGGACCAAGACCCAGAGCAGAGCTGTGATCTGCTTCTAGCATACTTGTGAAACCAATGCCCACAGCTGAGACATGCAGGCAATGGACCATGGCTCCGTCCTGGGCCCTGGCCCCATGTTGTCACTACCCCAGCCACACTTTCAGATGCTACTCCCCACACACCCAGGCCCCCATTCCATCTGCCTGGATGAATGCACCTTATCCTGGGCCAGTCTCTATAGAGGCCCTGCCCACCACACTTTAGTAGTGGATGCAGGTTGGATAAGATTGGATGCTTAGGTAGCAGGGCTGGTCCAATGGTGGCAGCCAGAAGGAGCCACTGCCACTGGGGCTGCCAGGAAGTAGAGTTCGACTGCTGTGCTGCCCCAGCCTCGCTACATACTTGGGGCAGCGGGACCATTTACATATGCCATGGCCCAGGCTGCACCCCATGCCTGGGCCAGGCAAGGCCAAGGGACCTGCCACAGGCTAGATATAATCCCTTGTTTGGCCAGATCCAGCCTGTGGACTGTATTTTGCCCACCCCTGGCATAAATGCTAAAATTCACCCTTACGTCCTCACTCTCCAGTCTCATATTCCACAGAAGAGGCACCAAAAGGCATGTTTGGTTCTGAAGTCAGCATGGAAGTCAGGAATTAAAAACACCACTGAAAACCATACATAAAACAAAGTAGTTACAGAATCTGACAGGCCACAGTCAATCTTGCTATCTTCTGTCAAGCAAAATGGCCCCCTCTTCACAGAAAGCCCCTTTCTGAACTAGGGAATAACATCAGAAAATAAGAGAACCAGCTTTTTTCTCTTTCAGCGCTGCAGATCTGAAGTCCAGCAAGCCCTTTTAGCTACACCAGTATCACTGAAGTGGTACAACCTGCATAGACCCAGTTACACTTACAATGGAGTCTCCACACATAAACATGCTTTAAGGGATGCACAGTTTTAGCAGTAAAAGTGACAATCCTTATAGATATGAATCATAGAATCAATGAGTGGGAAGGGACCTAGACAGATCATCTAGTCTGACCCCCTGCCATGGGCAGGAAGGAGCACTGGGGGTAGCAGGGGTCATAAGACCCCAGCCAGGTGCCTATCCAGTCTCCTTTTCAAGATTTCCAGAGAAGGTGAGAGCACCACCTCTCTGGGAAGCCTATTCCAGGCTCTGGCCACCCTTACAGTGAAGTAGTTCTTCCTAATATCTAACCTAAACCTATCCTCCCTCAGCTTGTGGCCATTGGTCCTGGTGACTCCAAGGAGGGCCCTGGTGAACAGACTTTCCCCGAGTCCCTGCTGGTGGCCCCTGATAAGGTTGTAGGCAGCCACAAGATCCCCCCTCAGTCCCCTCTTGCTGACACTGAAGAGATTCAGGTCCCTCAGCCTCTCCTCATAGGGTTGAAGTGAATACAAAACTGCTTAGATAAGTCTATGAAAGAAAACAGCTGTTTCCCTCCTGCTGGTCAGCACTACTTAACTTCAGGAAAGTTAGTGCCCAGAGTGGCACAGCCAAGCAAGCCAAGAAAGCCTTACCTGGCAAATGATATCTCTGTTGGTGACACGCACTATCATCCTGTATTTAGGGGTGTTGTACTTGTTTTTATCTTGAATCACCAAACGCTTACGAGCATAATAGTCTGTCTTTCCCTCTGAAAAGAGAGTAGTTTTAGCATTTAAGAAATACAGCATGTACACACACCAATTTTGTTTACTTTAAAAGTGACGATAGCATTAACTATACCTCTCCTTCTCCTGAATTTTACTTGGTACCTCTTGAAATATGCCTTATTTTTCACAACTTTAACAAATCCCTGGAACAAAGAACAGAAGCAGAGGTTATTAACGCAGCACCAAAAAGTCTGCCAATGCCCAGCGTGCAGTTTCATAAATGGGCACATGGGAAATGAAGAAGGGCTAAGGAGTTATACTGTGGCTGCATACAGCTACCTAGCACAGTGGCATTCATTCCTTCCAGGCCGACAGGAACCCAGAGCAATACAGTACATACATCGCCATATTCACTGGCTAAATGCTCCCTATGCTTCAAGGGCATGAGCCACCCGTGCCTCTTTCCATCACCCCAGGATGGAAGCGTTCTCCACTCATGCCACAACTCAACCCGCGGGGCCAGGACAAGCCTCCAGAGCTGCTGTCACGGCGCTGCAGGCTGCACTCCCGCCTCCCCGCTTGGCCGAAACCGCGGCCGAGGCAGCGAGGGGAGCAGGGCTGGGAGCACGGGGCGTGGAGGCGGAGAGAAAACGGGCATCGCGGAGCTCCCCGCCCGCAGCCCGGCCCGGCGGCTGCCACGCGGCCCGGCGCTGCCCCGCACCCGGGGAACATGGCGGAGCCGCCAGCCAAGGGGGACGAGGTGCAGCCAGGCCGCGAAGGGCCCGGCACCAAGGGGGAAGCAGCCCCGGGCCGCCGGGCAGGGAGGGGCCGAGGCGGCCGTGCAGGGGCCGGG